GATGAGGGCGCGGCGATAAATCAAGATAAACTTATGATAAACAAATTAGTCGGTGCGCTGCTGCGCCCCTTACTGGTGTTATTGTCTATATATCGTATATCTCTGTACAAATTACCGGCCGCCCCGCAGGCTAACTGCCGCTCTTAAACAGTCTTCGTGTTGCGCACACGTATGGGGGTGGAAGTATATTTCGAAGGGTAACTCGGAATTAATGCACCACTTCCTTATACGCAACTTCGTATTCCAACCGTGTCTAGGACAGGTTTCCTGATGATGTCCCAAATCTAATAAATAAATAAAATATTCTAATGCTATTTTTATATGATAGAGAATTGGATAAGGTTTTTTAATAGATATTATTAAAATTAACAGAAAGAAAGAATATTCTATATCATAAATTTTTTGAATGTGCGCATGTAACAATTTTAATATTGTGAAGATAGAAAAACCTTTCTGTCACCTTTACCGTTTATAAAAATTCCCTCAAATCTTTCGGAGAAATAATAATTTTTACGTAAAAATTTCATATCGTTGAACTTATCACTACAAAGTTACTTGCTGAAATTGCTTTTTATATTTCGCGTTTTATTTCTACGTGCCGTATATAAATTATTTAAAATGCGAAATTCATGTCGCGCGTTGACTCACGTGTCCCGTATATTGCCCTCCCGTTTATTTTCTTGCGTCCTGAAACGCGCGCGATAAAGCGGCGGTGTCAGCGGGAACGCTCAGGCGCAGAGAAGAAGCTAATTTTTTAAAGAGCACAACGAAAAGGGGGTGCGAACAGACGAAGCAACCCCGCGCGCGCGCGGATGTACCGTCCTTCTCGCTCTACACCCCTCTCTATCTCTCACACCCGCTTCCTCTCGATTCGATCGCGCACGCAAGCTGTTGGAAGAGCCTCGAGCTGCCGGCTCGTATTTCTCGCCCTCCAACGAGATACCAACCACCTTCGGGCCCCATCCTCGACTCCGCGCGTCACGCATACACAACGCCTCACATTGCACACGCTCGTACGTGTCCACCCACATACACACACGCGTGCGTCGCTGTACAACCGACAGCCACCCGCCGACCGCGAGCGTTGTAACGCGCTGCAAAGTGTTATCTGGTTAACCATCTTGCTGATCCTTGGCCCGAGACGACGGGCTCACACGCGGGGAGGTGAGAGCGGGCGTAATGGGATGATGGTCCCTAAGTCACGGATAGCTTAAAACAACACGAACTTAAACGCCGCTTCGCGCATTCGCTGAAGTTCTCTTTACAGCATTGCGGCATTTAAACCGAAAGAAAAGTGTGGAAGTACATACACGAATAAATTGATGACGTTGTTGCGAATATTTTTGCGTAACGTCGAGAATATTATATATTGCATTATAATATTCTTATCAAAACAAAACAAATTATGTATACACATAAGGCAAAAGTGTGTGTGTGTGTGTGTGGTCGCGCAGTTGTAGAAAATTTAAACCGCGCGCTCCCTAAACTCCGTAGGGGCAACAATTTCTATATCCCTCGTCGTTCAAATACTTAGAATACTTTGGTTTACTCTTCCGGTTCGCGTGATCTCCCTCGAGCTTCATCGCTCCGCATCGTTCCTCGTGGGATCACTCGATGAAAAGGCATTTCGCGAAGGGTGGCACCGTTCGAAGGACGGGTTCCCCGAACTGACGATATCACTAATCAACGGAGTGCGTTAGCTCATCAATTTCGCAAGATCGGCAGCCACGATATATCAGCGTGATATTCGTCGCCAGATATGAATAACTGGAGAACCGGAAGAATAAATCGTTAAAAAAAAAGGATAGACTTATTTTTGTCGCAGCCGTGTTTTTTTTTTTTTT